CGCCGTCGATACAAGGTTTTCAAGGTCAAGACCAAGTCCATGGAAGTCTCGACGTGGTTGAAATGTCTCTCGGCGCCGTGCTGGGTGAAAACGATATGTTGAAGGCAATTGATGTGCTTGCGGTAGAAGCGAAAGCGAAGGTATTTATGTGACTGCGTGGACGACTTCGCCATTCATGGTTGCTTCGGCGAATCTTTTCGGGATGAGTAATCCAGTAATTCATCAAGAAGGAGGCGCCGTTTGACCATGACTCGACTTCGCGCGCAAAATTCGAATTGTGGTGTGAGATGCGTGGTATTCAGATGACTTGGACAAATATTCTAATTTTTATTCTTTCACACTCTGAAACGCTATTTCGACATGGGAGCTCTCTAACAAATTATAAAATGGATATAGGTGGCATACGACATGCATCCGACAAATTTTGGCCAGGGGATTGGACGACCGATTCAAGTGGATTAAATGATTGGATAGAACATTTTCAGACAAAAGTATTGGCCGACATAGATGTCGTTCGTTAACATATCACATGTTTAGCGCAATAACATGACGTTATTGGTAAAAATACGATAGCAGTTTCATATCCAATATTGTAAAGATGCCGCCGAAGCCCTCGGGTGCTGCAGTGTCGAAGCAGACGAAAGAAGATTCGTTCCATGGTACGACAACGAGGCGAGCCTACGCAACATACCAAAAACAATTCAAGTCATACTTGCGCGTCCATAAGGGAGGTATCACACCTGAGTCTGCTACAACTGCTGAGTGTACGGACTTCTTTCACTACTTGTATACCAGCGGCAAAAAAGCCCGCACGGTTGACCTCGCAAAATCTACACTTGCGGCATAGATCAACAGCAAGAACCTGTCACCAAACCCAGCACAGAACATTAGTGCCCGCCGGTACATAGTTGGCCTACAAAAGTTCAACAAGAAAAACAACGTTGCCGTTAAATGCTCTATTGGATACAATTCGACCAATAACATCGTTATCGGATGAAAATGTCGGATTTCCAAAGTTATCCATAACGGAAATCACCAGTCTTTGCCCTCAATTTTGGGGCCTTAGCTTATTTTACCTATTTCATGATTGAGAAAACTTTGGGAGTAACATAAAGTATGGAATAAATGCTGGCTGATCACTCTATTCGATGGTATTAAGTAAATGAGGAAAAT